TATCCAGAAAACTTCATAGACTTTGACTCCAGGAGACAATGCACTCAAAGCCCTGCTCTAAATTTAAGTATTGCCCAGGATCCTTCACCATCATCCAGTCCTGAGTCAGATAAGCCAACCTAACTGTTTACCCTCTCATCCTCTCACAGGGTATTGTGACCCATTTCACACTACAACAGCCATTGATATCCTAAGTCTTCTTATATTAGTACTCCTGGGACTTGTCCTTGGGATAGGATTGGCCACAGTATCTCCTCCCAATTATAATTTTACTTCCAGGTGTTTACTGTCATTGACCTATTACCTCATAATTTCATTCTTTGTCATTCTTAATTGCTGGAAACAATAATAGTTCCTCTCCTGCTCCTGTTTTCTCTCCTAAACCTTACCCAAGCCGATATGCCCCTGGTGTGTACCTTGACTCTCTCCCAGCCTAACTCAGCCGTCCTTCAGACCCAGGTAGGATCTCCTGAAATTGCATTCCAGGCCACCTTATGCCAGTCCTTTCACCAAATCATCAAATTCCTGCCTCTCTTCAGACTGGCCCACAGCTGATTTCTGCTGACCTTTCCATATCTGCCTATACAGTTGCCCCCTGTGTTCTCCATCTTATTCAATCCCAGGTCAGTCGCCTCTCCACTCAAGTCTCCCGACAGACGGCTCACCAGCTGACACTTCAGGCCAGAGACCCCAGTGAGACCACCGTGTTACATGACAGCCAACCAACTAACCATGGCTCAGATCTCGGCTCAATTTAAACATTTTCTGAATGATCTTTAGACTGATATTTTCTGGTTTGCTCCCCACCCTCCTCCTATTACCTACATAGCCGACTGGATCACTAATACATGGCTCCAAAAAACTTTATCAGATTTCACCCTGTCTGAAGTCACAATCTTTACCTTTATACTTGTTCTTAAACACTCCAACCAGTCCACAGCCTCATACAAATTATCTTCTACTCTCCCCTCCCTCATTAACTGATTTGTGTGCTTGGACTTTTCTCAGGAAGCCCAACCAACAATTCCAATGATAATGCTGCTGCTGTCAACAATTCCATGTTCATAAAGGACAACTCAGCTGGCCAACCTCCATGCCTGCCCCTAGGTTGACTCGTCGCCCAAATTCCGCAGGAAGTAGTTATAGAAGACAGACTGCCCCTTTTCCGTCTGCCCAAGGATATGTTGGCTGCCAATTGTCCTCCAAAATCAAAGAGTGGGGAATGTTAGGGAATTGATCATGTTAAAGTATGCTGTGACGCCGCCTCACAGGCTGCATTCTTCTGATACATCTTGGCTCCTAAAATGACCTCATGCCCTTATCTCTGGTTTCCCTCCCCCACAAGGCCACAGTGGTCCAGGAAAGTTGAAACCTGTGTCTGCAGGACTGGGCCCATAAAAGCAATCTGGCCTGTGATAGGTTAAAAGTAACTTACTCCTCATAAATAAGCAATAGCCCACCCCAAAACTGATAAAAGGACCTTCCTTTCTTTGTTCCTCTCTCTCCTTCTGCTTCTTCTTCCTCCTCTCTCTCTCTCTCTCTCTCTGCCTTCCTGCCTCCTGCTCGCCTCCCTACAATAAATATCTCCTGCTGGACCTCTCGGTGTGTGAGTGGCCTAATTGGGAAGGGGCACCCGAAAGGGCACACAAACCCCCTTTCACTGATACCAACCAAAAGAGAAATAGCAATAGTAAGTCAGGAGCATAGTTTAGAGATGTTTCTCTGAGATTCAGGATCAACCCGGAAGCTTAATTCCAATCAGACTTCTCTGGTCTCAGCCCGAGGCAGAGGATCAAGTCCCAGGCAGGGTGCTGGGAGAAAGGACTGTGGATCTGCATCTGAATGGGCTCCCTAGGAGGTTTTCAGGTACTGAAGTTTGAAGACTGGAGCTGCCTCTTCCCAGTACCTGCAAGAAGCCAGCTGGTGTGGGGACTGGGGTGGCAGACTAGGAAATGAGGGTGGGCAGAGGTTGCTGGATTTCACTGGAGTCAGAGGTCGAGAAGCTTAGTGCAGGGAGCCTGGTCTTGAGGACCTTTGCCTGCTGGCCCCACACAAATAGAGTAGTTCTGTATAGGTCTGTTTCATTCACTGGGATTCCCTCAGCTACGTCTCATCAAAGAAATGCACTGCTAAAAACACCTGGAAATCACTGATTCAGGGCACAGAAAATGGGCTACTCATCACTGGGGTCAGAAGACCTGGACAGCGGTGCCTTTCTTTGCACTTCCTGACTGATGGACTTTGTGTTAGTAGGAACCTTTCCATACCTTCCTTTGTAGACTGGCTACACTCCCCTGCACACCTTCCAAGCTGATTGCAGGAATCAAACCAGGTTATTCACCGGGGACAGCGCGTAGGTGAGTGCAAGAGAGGACACCTTGTAACTCTCCAGGGGATGGGGTAGAGTCAATCTGTCTAATTCTTTTTCAGTCAACACAAGATCACAGTGAAACACTGCCACTTAATAAAGAGGCTCTGGAGACGGAAGAGAGGGAGGGCAGGAGGAAGAGGCAGGCCACTCACCGACACAAATGCTTGAGATTTGGTTTCATTCAACTGAAGCTGCAATTTCTTTTCATTGTCATAGACTCCATAGAGTCTCTTGGACCAGGTCTGAGGTACTCTGCTCTTGAATTTTAATGAACTGTACAAAGCAAATATCCTTTGTAGATCTAGGACCAGGCAGCTGCAGTTGTAGAAGATGACGCCAAGCTCTTTCATCTGTGAAATTAAAATTGAAAGCATCAATGTCATGTGCATCTGATGGCGTTAATTTCAGAGAAAAAATGCATAAGAAAACAGTACTAGTGACATCTTTTTTCCTTGCCTTTGCTATTACACCGAAGCGCACAGCTGTAATCACATTACGGCATACAGAAGTGATATGTTAAAATTTTTCAGTAGAAGTTTTGCTTGCTTTTTGTATTAGGATCCTACAGATGAGCTCCCCATGGTATTCATCTACACTTTTTCATACTGGCCCTTCAGATTTGTTTCCTTAACACCAGTATTTTTTGTATGGATCCTCAGATGGTGTAGCAAGACAAAGGACGACCATTAACTGCAATGTAACAGAACGGCTACAGTCATGGCTTCTGGTCACTGCCTGGAATTAGGCTCCAGCTCAACAAATTTCCAGCCATGCAACTTTGGACAACCTATTTAATCTCCAGCCCTTGGTGACATTTTCTATAAATTTACGATAGCATTTATTCCATACATTTATTCTGATACTTAAGATGGTTGTTAATACACATAAAGGGCTTAGAGCAGTGCCCATCACATGGTAGTCACAAAAACCACAGCAATTATTATTCTTACTAACAGTGCACATGCCTCAAGGGTGAAAGACGAAAAGAATAAACCTGAGAGATCACTCTGTCCGCTTCCCTCTGTGCACGCATGAGAGAAGTAAAGCTCACATAGACAAGATCAAGTCGGAGATCTAATCGGTGGTACAGAAAGGCTGAATGCAGCTTTTGTCATCCCCAATCAAAAGTACCCATCAACAAAAGTGCACGGGCCTCATCTGAGTCCTGTTTCCTGAGGCCGAATCACCAAGTAACTGGGTTTGGGGACCACATTGAGCTGCGTCATCAGAACAGCTCGCCATGTCCTGGGCACCTCACAGTTCAGCTCCACTTCATTCTTACCGCACTGCAAATAACATGCATTAAGATACCCAGTCATAGGGCTGGGAATTTAGCTCAGTGGTTCCACCACCTGCCTTGCAAGTGCAAGGACCCGAGTTTGATCCCCGGAACAAAAACAAAAAACAGAACAAAAAACCCAGTCATAGAATTGTCCCTACTTCCAAACAGTTTTGAACAGAGCCCTAATCCTTAAACACTCCCCTCAATAGCTAACACAAGCTCAGGTCCCATAACAGCTCCTAAACCTGCTTCCTGAGATACCCCACCACTTGCCGTGTTCTCGCTTCTCCCTTGTCATAACCAGCGGGTGCTCAGTCTCCCATTCTTCCTGTCCCTCGGCGGGAGGGCAACGAAACCACCTCATTCTACTCCAGTGTCACAGCACACAGTCACCGGCACTGACTTTATGGACTCACCCTGTGCCCTTAGCTGCTTTTCGGACAAAGACCAGGTACTCAGTGCCATTCAAAATGGAACAGGGAGTTGCTCAGGCAACAGGGAAGAGAAACTTTAGAGCAAAGGCAATAATGACCTCTGTGGCAGGAATAAAGAAGGGCTGTTCTTTGGGATGAGGCTTTCCTACGAGAGCCTAAGGCTGAACAGTGCCCTCCTGTTTTGAGTATTATTCGGACCTCTGGAAATCTGATGACTTGAATCTTCAAAAGCTAATGGAGAAACCAGAAGTATAAAATACAAATGCTTATTTAGTGACACTATAATCCTGAGTGCCTCTTGTCTTTTCAGGCATAATCACCTGGAGGGAGGCGTAGTTATGAACACGCCTGGTCCCCAAGATTGTCTGCACACACCGTTTCTCATTATCAAGGTGCAAGCAGATCCTGCTTTTCTGTGCCCTCTCTCTAGGTTTTTCTCCAGCTGTTAATATTTCTAATAACTTTATGCTAAAGAAAGACTGAGTGCTCCCTTTCCCCGGCCTTGTAATCTAAGTGGCTCACTTGTGAGCTTTTGTCTGCAATGCATTCTGCTCCATGGCCAACTCACAGCTTGGGAATCAGAAGGCCAAGAACAAGCCATGCCTGGCCCTTTGAGAGGTAAAGAGAACCGAACTCCCTCCTAGTGGCCCTCTCAGCCCCAAATGTGCCAGACACTCTTCCAGTTACTCGCATTTGATTCAGGCTGTTGTTGAAGATGGAAGAATGGAACTGGCTTTTTTTTTTTTCCAGTGTTTTCACCCAGAGCAAAGACTGAGAACAGGTTTTGGAACAAACCTTCTTAAAATGCTGATAGTGGGAAAAAGAAGAGACGTGGGCTTCTGGGGAGTTTCCATGTGTGGATTATCACAAGGTGAAAAGCGAAAAGTCTGCCTGGCGAGTGGAAACGTTCCTACTGTAGTCTCAGCCTGGAACTGCCGTCTGCCTGGTGGCTGGCTGCTCACCCTGCCCAGCCGCTCTGCCGGCCACGACCAAGGGACACTGGCCAACCCGTGGGCCATCGTGACTTCTCGGAGAAATCACATAGTCAGAAATGAGATCCACGCAGTCAGAAATGAGTGAAACTGACAGGTCAGATGGTCCAACTCATAGAAATAAAACCATTTTGAGAAAGCTTGACGCTTATCAGCTAATTAATCTTTGGAAGAGAAAAATTCTTAGGGTGATTTCGAGTCTTTTCCCCCACAGAGTGGGCAAAGTGTTAGTGCTGAACCCATGGACCCAAGACCTGAACTCCAGGCCTCAAACAACTGCAGCTGCCTGCCAGGAGGCGGCTCTTGGCACAAGAATTTTGTTGGAAACTCGAGTTGTACAGTGGTTTCTTCAGGTCTCCTGCACTAGGACATTAGCAAGAGCAGGAGACGGGCAGGGCCCAGGCTTTTATATAATCCGGGAGCTAACAGTAACCTCCTGCCCAGGGAGACATCACGACAGGAGTGACGCTAATTAAGGATGGTGCTCAACTTGTCTCGGTGCTTTCCAGGTCCGAGATCTTCAAACTGCAGCAACCCATTTACAAGCAAAGAAACAGCTACGGGGCCAGCCAGGGACTTGGGCACATGAGCACTTAGCAAGCAAGGAAGCTGGGGACACCGTACTCCAAGGCGAGTTTCAGGTCGCTTTCAGGAAGGATTATTGACAAAGTGAAGCACCCGTGACACTAAACGCGTTCAGTGGGTGAAGGCCACGCCTTGCTGTTTCTGTCTGATCCCTCTTCTCTTCTACTAGATGGTTTGAGTTATCAGAACAAAAAAGAATAATTAGGGAAAGCATGGGATTGCACAAGAAACAACACTTCCATTTACTACTTTCTCAAAAATTGTGGAAGGCGGTTAACAGGGAAAGGGGTGACCAGAGGAGGGGGTCTCTTTTAGCCAGCACACGAAGGCAGCACGAAAGAGGGCAGGCGAGGTTTGAAGAGCTTCGTTGGGGAAGCAGAAGCCAGAGCAGGCGTCGGTCTGATGGACGCTCTTGTCAGCTGGATGGGGAGCGGAGAAGCACTAGCATCATTCCTCGCTGTAATTCAGAATAATTAATACAACTTGGCTTAACCACGGCTCAATTTATCATTCACAGATGTCCAGTCTGTTGTTTTCCTGATTTTATACAAATGTGGACAAGCATTTCTTTAATTTTCTTGACAAAGACAGAAGAACCCGCAACGGTGAGCAACTTAAACGCATCCAGTGAGCTACTGATTTACATTCCGCGTTTCTGCAGGAAATTTAATTACGAAGAGCTCTAACTTCATTTTATTTCTGCCCTCAAGGTGAAAATTTTGTTACTGGGAATAAAAAATAAATAAAATAAAGAACTGAATCCTGGGACCTCAAAGGCAGCCTCCTGCTCAGAAATGTACTTTCACTCCCCCAGTGGGTGGCTTATCCCAATTTACCTTACGGATGTCTTATTTTCTGTGTCTACCAAGTGGGAATAACAAAGCTTGCAGAGGACCACGACTAACTGAAGAGACAGGAGAGGATTTAAGAATCTTGGAGAATAGGGAATTCAACCTTACTTCAGAATTAAGGATCTTGAGGACCCAGAAGGGGAAAGTGACCTCACAGAATCATGATCTGTGATTTTGGGTCTTGGGCTCCTTTGTCCAGTGGCACTGGGCGAATACGGTACTGGACTCTTCAGTAGGATAAAGGAAAAGTGTGTCATTTTGCTCAGTGCCTCCCTGACATCTGTCCTCCCATCCTCCCTCCCTTCTTTCTACATTAATCATGCTCCATCTTTTTATAAGGACCTGAAGACTTTCTCAAGTGCCGCCTGGCATCTTTGAGTTTTTGCTGCGAGGATTTGACACAATCATTTCTTGCCTTTACTTAGGCAAAGAGAAACAAGTAGAGAAGACCAGTAACAGAGTAACTGGAGGATGTTCTTAGAGCAGAGGAATCCTAGAGGAAGGAGGCTGGAGAGTGGAGAGGGACTAAACACACTGCAGAGCCATTTCAGTTCCTCTTTGGAGTCCTGTCAGTCACCTGGCTTCTGTGGAAGAGATGAAAGTGATTCCCCAATGTGACACAGCTCCTCCTGTCATCCCTGCTGTTTGCCTTCTTAGCGGTGATGAAGTTGAGCTCTCAATGGACTGTATCTGATAAGCTTTTCAAACCTCTCCAAGGATCTACTCTCTCTTGATAAAACACAGAGCCAGACCTGAACAACTGCATTTCCCCTTCGGGTTTATAAAATAAACACCCACCCTACTTATGCACTAGATCATTAGCAGTGATACGGATATCAGCCATTTAGCTTCTCGTTCATGAAAAGATGAAGCGATTAAGGGATCTAGAGAGTTGGATAAGTTTTTTTTCCTCAAAGAAAACTGAAAATGTAGAAACCTTGTACTACTTTTCTTTGCAGCAAAGTCATCATATAATAGAAAGAATGGGCAAGAGGAAATAACTTTATGAGTTTCCATTTGTCATTCATAATTCATAAAACTCATCCTCAAGCTCTAGTTTGAGAGACCTTGAAGCACAGAAATGCTCTGAGTTTTCACACACGAAAACGGAGTCCCTCTTGTTGCAGAGGAAGCTTTTGTTTCTCTGTGCTCCTTTTGGGTCCTTCCTCTGCAATCTGGGACAGCGGGCTCCCGGCCTCCCTGCAA